GGGGGGTGGGTAAAATTTCGGGGGGGGGGGATGAAAATCCCCGATGTAAAGAGATCACCCCCCCACACCCCCAAAAACAAGGATCACATTGAAACTTATTAAAACACACTTTGCAAAAGTACGCCTTAGTGCCTGGACTCACTCCGTTGCCGTCAAGGAATGGGAGCCGATCGTATAACATCACTTTGGAAAAGAAGACAGGCGCAGCTCTTCGAATGAGAGGCAAAGTGTGCCTGCCAGCCGTTTATTGTAGAAATGACGCATCAAGCAAATGAAAAGCTGCTACCGTAATGCTAATGCAGAATGCAAAACGCCATAGAGGGGCTAAGGGAAATTAGCATAACCGCTCAGACTAAACTTTGACACAAGTGCTACTACACACGGAGATCCGCAACACGTGCAACTATTCAAACGATATTCAGAGGCGGCGATTCTGTGTTCTGTGGGAGCGACTGCAGTTTAGTCGGTGCTCAAAGTTGGGCCGGTTGTTGTGTGTACTCCGCTTGAGCTGAAAACACACCTCAAAGTCACTACAGCAACTTGGAAATGATCCCAAAAAAGGTTATTTGGCAGTTTCAATTCAGTCCTGCCAGGCAAATGAGAATCATATTTATGATTTTTTTTTCTTTTTTTTTTCTTCACCACCACTACTTTTGTCACCCATATTTACCTTGACTTTTTTTTTTTCCTTGTTCATGTTCTTCTATTTGCCCCTCATGAAAAAAAAGTGCACTAACTTTCATGTTTTTCTTAGCCGGAATCCTCTCGAAGACAAATAATTCTCAGTCCTGGCACATTTCAACCTTTTTTTTTTTCCTCCAACCTCACGCGTTATGATTGTCATTAACTTTGTTTTTTAAGTTATTATTACTGCGACTGGTGACTTTGTTTCTGTGATCTAGTCATTTTTGGTGCTCCAACAGGCCAGTCGAATCGCACTAAGATGGCATCATCAAAGTCCACAAAGGATTGCGTTCATGCCAATTTGACCAAACTGACTGTTTTGTTTTTTTGTCTTTTTTTTTAAACAAAATAATCTTGCTGAACCTTCTCTTTGCTTTATTTGTTTCCTAATTGGGCTTACCTGTAATCAACAGATATGTCTCCCGAGAGCATTTACACCTTGAGAACTGAAAAACTGAAGCCACAAATGCTCGTAAGACATTAAAAAAATAAAATTAAAAAAAAAAAAACATTCCTCCAATTTTCAGTCCCCCATTCAATCAAAATATTGTGGGACAGGTCCAAACGAGAGTTCCTCTCAGTCACCAAAGAAAAAAAAATCCTCGCTCGTATTTGCAAAAGTGCCGTTGTTTTCAATTGAAGTCAATCTGGACCAAAAAAAAAAAGCAGACGGAGACGAGTTTTTGCGCACGCCGCTGCCTACCCGCCGTCCGCGTTGAATGTCGACCATCCCGAGTGCGACGCTGGCGATCGCGTGCGCTTTCTCCGCTGACCTTATTCTTCCATTTCTTGGCCGACATTTCAGGATGACTCCCAAATGATGACGCGTTCAATGGAACTACTTTGCTCATGACTTGCTGGTGTCTAACAAAGTGCTGAATCAACATAATTCACATTCATTACAATTTCGGGTGTGCATTTCTGCCTTTAAAGCCCGATTGCCATCACTTTTTGGAAGTTGTGTACTTTCAAAAAAAAAAACAAAAACATCAAATTGCCCCTTCGTTCCCTTCTTTTGCGAAGAACTGAGCCACAGCTATTACTACGTTCCACCATTTTCGACAATAAACGAAACGGACGGATGGCCACTACTGGAGACT